GCGACGCACACAGGAGCAGTCGCATGCGAATCGTTTTTCCTTAGACATTATTGAACTGGAAGACACAGAGAAAAGAAATTGTAGAATATTTTTAAAACAATATAATCAAACCAACAAAGATAAATGCATATTGGTAAAATAAGTAATGCTGTTGACATTATTAATACTAATGAGATTATGTTTGTTTGTTAGTGTACTAACAGAAAAGAATGACTAAATAAGAAGCAATAAATGGGTGACGTGGTTATGAATTTCGAAACGCTAGCGCACAGGCCATTTGACTATTTTGTGATATATGAACCAAATGTTATTTCCTGCTTTCGTCGGTCACGCCAATTCAAGATTATGATGGAGATTCGATATTGGTTTAGTGGATCGCAGGCTTTCCGTCTTAAAGGTTGATCAGCGAGTTCAAGAGGCTGGCCATCTCTGCAAGAGAACTTGGAGGAGAAGAAAATAATTTTGTCTCGACGATTCAGATCTTTTTGTTACCGAATTTCCCTTTCATGTATATGTGTGTATATATATATATATATATATATATATATATATATATATATATATATATATATATATATATATATATATATACATATACATATATACATATATACATATATATATGTGTATATATATATATATATATATATATATATATATATATATATATATATATATATATATATATATATATATATATATATGTATATATATATATATATATATATATATATATATATATATATATATATATATATATATATATATATATATACATATATATGTATATATATATATACATATACATATATATATATATACAAATATATACACATAATGCAGTTCATCGTTTATTTCAACTTCGAGCGAGGCTGCTCGAGCGCCACGTCGGGAATCAAGACTTTTCAAGGTGCAAATCCATGGCTACTAGTGACCGACGCATAAACAAATAAACAAACTAAATTATAGATCATCTAACAAATAGATCAGTAAGTGCATACAGATAGGAAGATTTGAATTACTCTTAATCATCATTATTAACAATTATTCCTCTTTCTGCAGGTAAACCATAAAGAGCTCGGCTGCATTGTGACTCACACAGGTAAAGAGAATATAAAAGAACCTGTCTTTTAGCACAGGACACGATGCACGAGAACAAAAGTAAAGAGACCTTTTCTTCTCTCCACTATTCTTCTCTCCTTTTCACGTCTCCACCTGTCTCCTCTGCTTCCTCCTCTTCCCCTCCTCTCTCTCTCCAACAGTCTCCTCTACTGCACTCTAATTTCTTCCTCCTTCTTTACTTGCTAATTCATCATTCTTTCTCTCCTTTTCATACCTTCCTATTTCTCTTCTCCTTTTCTGTACCTCCTCCTTCTATCCTCTTATGTACATTCATATTTCTTCTTTCTCCCTTCCCCTCTCCTCTCTATCCCTCCTTTCTCCTCTCCTCCTCTCTGCCCCCTTCCTCCCTCCTCCCCGTCTCTGCTTCTCATCTCCGTCATTTAACACTTGTTATTTAACAATTAACTTACCCATTTATCCATTAAAATCTGCCTCGTCACTTCGATTTCCCCTCGTTTATTTTGCCGCTTGTCTACTTCTTACTCTCTATTCTTTATTTACTCATTTGCATGCAACTGGTCAGTTTGTCAGCAAGATTATGAGGAAAGTGGCTGTCGAAATATGATTCAGTTTTATAGGTGGATTGACAGGAATTAAAGTGATGCGGATCAGCACCGAGATCCAGGAGGAAATGACATGATTCCTTGACACAGCAACGCCTTGTACGCACGCGCTTGCTTACGGCCGGGGTTCTTGGGAGCTGGGGAGGTTTCCGCTCTCGGGCTGCTTTTCTCGAGTTGTTTTCTGTTTTCTTCTCTTCTCTTCTTCACTTTTGCGTCATCGGCTTTCTTCTTCCCTTTTATTTTACTAAAATTTCTCTGCGCAGCTTTCTCTTTCTCCGGTCTTGTTATGCTTCTCCTATCCTAGTTTTTGCTTCTCCTGTTCTTTCACTTCTGTGTTCTTGTGATTCTCTCTCTCTCTTTGCCTCTCTCTCTCTCTCTCTCTCTCTCTCTCTCTCTCTCTCTCTCTCTCTCTCTCTCTCTCTCTCTATCTATCTATCTATCTATCTATCTATCTATTTCTCACACTCCCTCTCTCTTTACTCAATTACTTTCTATCTGCTTATCTATTTTTAAATCTTCCTTCGCACCTTAAGATAATGTGAAAGGAAATAGAATATAAAATATCTTAACCAGGGATTTGTTTTTTTTTCCTCCTTCTTCTTCCTCTTCCATAAGAGCGAAGAAACAGGAGTGATGTCATTTGATTCTGAAGTGTGGCTTGGTGATGGAGGAAGTACATTTTGTTCAGTGCACTTGGGTTATGTTTATGCACGTTATTTTAATTTTCATCTTTACCATGGCAATCCCTTTAGTTTTCCCATCATTATCATTAATTCTTATATTTTCAGTATCATTTTCATCATTGTTATTATCATCATTGTTATCGTTGCCATTGTCATTGCCATCACTGCCATTATCAGTTTAATATTGCAGTAATAATTGTCATCGTTATCATCATCATTGTTAGTATTAACAGTGTCATTGCTATTATTAGTAACATTATTGTTGCTACAAATCTATCATGGCTATTATTTCACATTTCCTCCTAAGATCACTAACATTCTTTTTGCTTGCCCTGATCATCGTCTTTCCCATTAATATTTCTATCATTACTGCAAGCATGACCATCAATATCGCCGAAATTATCATAAGTCATTAAGCTTTGATCAATGATAATTATGCTATGCATGATTACGTGCTTATCATCAGTCATGAAATATATATCCACAGCAACGTTTGCCGCAGCCAGGAATTATCTCATTTGAATAAATCATTTCTCCACCGCCTTCGCATCGCACACGATCATATAAAATCGAGATGGTAGGGTTCGGATATTTGCACTCGTGACTCGTGTCTTTGGCTTTAATAATTCCTTTCTTATTTAAGCCGCTGAAAATATCCTCATCTTTCGAGATGGGCATATTGCTTGGGCATTCTGCATACAGTGCCCAGTTTTCGACATAATCAAATACAGCCGCATAAACACAAAGTAACATTGCATCTCAAACGAACCGCGCACACTGATGCCGAACAAGCGGACACAGTGATATAAATGGATCCATTTCCCCCTTGGCACCTCAGTCTCCTACTTCCATTTCCCCCCCGGGCTCGCTGGAAGGAGTAACGATTGATACTTTATGTTTTTGTGTTTCTGTTATTATTTTACGCGAGAACCACTCCAGTCATGACTTCGCACTCGACGCTGCACTTTGTAGGCCCGAGCAATGCGTGTGTTGGCTTCCGTCCTGACTGAGAGCCCGGTTCTCGAGGTAATCGAAATTCAGACACACGTACGCAGACTCACACATTTGGCGACTTATTTTTAGATGTGGCGCGGTGTCTTAATGACATGACAGATTTGCTGGTTTGGACAACAATATATATATATAAACTTATTTAGATGTGTATATATGTATATATATGTGTGTGTGTGTGTGTGTGTGTTTGTGTGTTTGTGTTAACTATGATGTTATGTATTTATTACTGTATTTGTATATTTTACGTGTTTCATAATCAATCACTTTATTTTTCACCATATGATTTGGTTGTTCGAATGGCGCGAAAGCGGGGAGGATGAATGAAGACTGACGGGCCCGGCGCCTAGGCCTCCCTTGCGGCCGAGGCGGCGACGAACAGGCCGCATGATTCATTCGAGAGAGACGCACGCGATGGCGCTCATGCACTGCCGCACGCACGGGGATATGCACTGGCTTAGTTACTGCTGCACGTACACACGCGACAGTTGCAAACGCATATGCGACAAACACACACAAACACACGTACACACACACACACACACACACACACACACACACACACACACACACACACACACACACACACACACACACACACACACACACACACACACACACACACACACACACTCACTCACACACACACACATATTTGACGTTGCTAAGCAAGGCGGCGTCGCGTGTTGCAGGTGATGATAATGACGACCGCGATGGTGGCAGATCGTGGCGAGGGCGGGCGCTGTCGTGGGCGGGATGGGCGTGCGGCAGGGGCGGCCGAGAGTGGTCACCATACCTGCTTTACTCTAGAATCTGTTATCGCATCCGGGCTCGCGCAGTCTGACCTTCCGCGAGGTGAAGGAAAACCTGTCTAATGGGCCTTCTACTGTAAGGGCGAGAATCCCTTGCTTTTGCGTTTGTGTGGTAGGATGGACGGCGAGGGGGGGAAGGTAGAGAGGAGGGAGGGGAGACGGGGAGGAGGGGGGTTGACGAGATGGTCAAGATATCGGTACACCTTCGTCTTCGGCAATAAGAAAATGAAGTACCTTTAGCACTTGAAGACGAGGCTACGCGGTCTGCGACCAGGAGGAGAAGGGAGGCTGAGCAGACGGTGTAGGGAGGAGGAGGAAGCGAGAAGGATGGGGGAGATGGAGACGTCGGGAGATGAGGAAGCCCGAGATGCGAAGGAGTGGGACATGAGGGTGGCCAGATGCCCCTCGGGTGATGGCAGGCTGTACGTGTTATTCTGTATGCGTCGCCCCCTTCCTCCCGCCGTCATCTCTACGGGAGGGTACCTGCCCGCGCCGCTATGGTTGCCACGCGCTCTTTTCTTGCTTCTTTTGGGGCCTTCGAGAAGTGGAACAGCGAAGGACGCGAGCTTGAGAGGTTTCTTCCTCGGGAGTTCGGAGGCCGACGCCACTCACTGGGTGTCCCGGGCGGCGCCTCCTCGCTTTGGACAAGCAGAGAACCGCCAGAAATGTCTGTTTAGCGAAAATCCCGTGCGAGTGGATGTTGTCGGGCTCGCCAATGAGCGGTCGTCCCGGCGGACCACGTGACCATGGCGGTGCTGCCCTCTGTGCGCAGGTGCAGCGGCGGGTGTGAGGCTGCTGTGCTCACCTGGCTCAGTGGTGAGGTGAGCAGTGAACAAGATGGAGAGACACAGAGTCGTTCACAGCCGCGATGATTCAGGAAATTCCTAGTGTCCTGCACTTCCTGTAGACGGACGCCGGAGTCTCGCAGGAGTCTTGCGTGCGGGGGAAGTGTTCGTGGCGTAGGAAATTGTCCCGGGAGGAGAGATTTGTTTAAAAAGGGAGATAATGCCCCTTTCGTGCCATATGTAACAGTAGTTGTGTACCCAGAAGTGGAGTTGTGTGTCGATGTCAACAGTGTTTCTAAAGGAAAAATATAGGTTGACAGTCGTTTTGTGCCGCAAGTGCGCCGCGAAGACCAGACTCGGTGGTAACGCTGCCGTTCTCGAAAGTGTGCGGTCGATGCTGTAGTGGGTGGCGAGACGGGCAGCGAGGCCCGCGTGCGTGCTCGGTAGTTGTGGGCATAAGCAGCTCACTGACAAATCGCTACTGCAGCTCCTCCGGTCCGGCCAGCTCCGAGCGGGCGCAGCGAGCTCGGCAGGCGCAGGGCTCAAGCCGCACTCCCGACCCATGTGCGAGGAACTCTATCCCGCGCTGCCCTATGACCCAAGGTGGCCGCCACGAGCTCCGCTGGGGCAGCCGACCCGACACCGGCCGTTAGGATGGCAACTCTAGGGCTCTCCAAAGTCTTCATTCTCGACAAGTACTTTACCGAGCTCCAAAAATTCTGGGAAACGGAGAAGAAATTGCAAG